GTCCCGCTTGACCCGCCTCCCCTGCTCCTATGGACGCCGAGCCTCCCCACCGGCCCCGGCGCGAGCCCTCGCCGTCGCTGCACCACCCGCAACCGCCGTGAGCACACACACCCGCACTTCGCCGCCCACCGCTGCCTTCCCCCTACCGCGTCGCGCTCGTCGCCGTCCCTGGTGTTGGCGCCGTCGTCCCGTGCCCCGCCTCCGCCTCTGGCCCCGCAGGCCACGCCACACCGGCGGCCAGTTCCGGCACCCCGCGGCGCCCCGGGTCTGCCCTTCGGGTGCAAACGCCCGGGTGCCCGCTGCCCGTTGCACCCGCAACCGCGCCTTGTACCCGCTAAGGCCACAGGGGCCTATGACAGCTGGGCCCCGTGCCGAGAACATAAAGAAATGAATGAAAAAGAATTAAAAAAACATAAAAAATAATAATAAAATTAATTAATTAACTTAATTAGTTCTGTTTAAAATAACTAATTATGATTAATTAACCTAATGACAAATTAACCTAATTAACTACTGTTAATTAACAGAACAGTCAATGACATGTGGGGCCCACATGTCAGTTCGACTAAGTCAACGCCCTGTTGACTGATGACATCATGCTGATGTCATGTTGACGTCAGCAAACACTATTCTGGATAATGTTGATTTAAAAAGTTAAATAAATTCAAAAAATGATTTAAATATTTTAAAATCAATATAAAATAAACCGTAGCTCGGATGGAAAAACTTTGTACATGAAAGTTGCTCAGAACGACGAGACGAATCCGGATGCGCAACCCGTTCGTCCGCCACACACCCCTAGCATATCAAACAGCAACTTTCCCCTCCGGTTCACTGGTCCGAAAACGCGAAACACCGGGGATACCTTCCCGGATGTTTTCCCCCTTCGCCGGTATCACCTCCTACTGCGTTAGGTCACCCCTAGCACCGCGTATCAACATGTTATGCTTTGTGTTGCTTTGATTGCTCTGTTATTTATTATGTTCCCCCTCCGTTACTTCTTTCCAGTAGACCCCGAGACTGCCGGCGACCACAGTTCAACTACGGTGTTGACGACCCCTCTCTCTTGCCGGAGCAACCAGGCAAGCCCCCCCTTTGATCACCAGATATCGCCTATTCTTCTCTATACTGCTTGCATTAGAGTAGTGTAGCATGTTACTGCTTTCAGTTAATCCTATATTGCTGCATAGCCTGTCCTTGTTACTACTATTGTTACCTTTACCTGCTATCCTACTGCTTAGTATAGGATGCTAGTGTTCCATCAGTGGCCCTACACTCTTGTCTGTCTGCCATGCTATACTACCGGGCCGTGATCACTTCGGGAGGTGATCACGGGCATATACTATATAATTTACACTGTTACATTACATGTGGTACTGTTCGGAGTTGGGGGCTGAAGGGGCAAGTGGCTCCATCCCGGTAGAGTTGGGCCTGGGTTCCCGACGGCCCCCGACTGTTACTTTGTGGTGGAGCGACAGGGCAGGTTGAGACCACCTAGGAGAGAGGTGGGCCTGGCCCTGGTCGGCGTTCGCGGATACTTAACACATTTAACGAGATCTTGGTATTTGATCTGAGTCT